TCGCCGGCCTGTATTATTAATCAGGCGCAAATCGTCGCACGTGCGGACTCGTCCGATAGGTATAAACACACCGACCGGGGATATTTTCATTCCGAGAGTGTATATTACGTTACACGGCAATTAATGCATTATTAATGCGTCTCGTGCAAAACAGATGAACAACAGTGGAACAACCGATGATTAAAACGTACAACTCCCATCGGGCATGTCAAAGTAAAAGAAACAAGAATAATTTTATCATACAAGGGGGAGCTTTTGATTTGAAAAGTTATTTAACTTGCTTTGCATCTCATTGTGTTTGAGAGTTAATTGGAAAAAGAATATAATAATTATATTAATAATTATATGATATAATAAGATAATTATATAAAAATAAATCGACGAAATTGAGAGAATTAATTTACTAATATACGAAAAAATTCTCCAACGAGAAGAAGAGGAAAAATGGACGAAACGTCGGTTTCTCAGGAAGTGGGTTTTGTCTCGTGCAAAACAGATGAACAACGGTGGAACAACCGATGATTAAAGCGTACAACTTCCATCGGACACGTCAAAGTAAAAGAAACAAGAATAATTTTATCATACAAGGGGGAGCTTTTGATTTGAAAAGTTATTCAACCTTTGCATCGTAAGAAGAAACGAATAATAATGCCCTTGACACCTTCCATTGTTTAAAAGTTAGTTGAGAAAAGAATATATTATTATATGATATAATATATATTAATAATTATATAATATAATAAAATAATTATATAAAAATAAATCGGCGAAATTGAGAGAATTAGTTTACTAATGTACGAAAAAAAAATTTTTCCAACGAGAAGAAGAGAAAAAATGGACGAAACGGTTTCTCAGGAAGTGGGTTTCGTCTCGTGCAAAATGAACAACGGTGGAACAACCGATAATTAAAACGTACAACACCCATCGGACACGTCAAAGTAAAAGAAACAAGAATAATTTCATAATACAACGGGGAGCTTTTGATTTAAAAAGTTATTCAACTTGCTTTGCATCTCATTGTGTTTAAGAGTTAATTGAAAAAAGAATATAATAATTATATAATATAATAAAATAATTATATAAAAATAAATCGGCGAAATTGAGAGAATTAATTTACTAATATACGAAAAAATTCTCCAACGAGAAGAAGAGGAAAAATGGACGAAACGTCGGTTTCTCAGGAAGTGGGTTTCACCGTGGGTGAGAGCAACGAGGGTGGTTTGCCCGAATGTAACCGAGAAGTTACGAGCGATAGCGATCTGAATGTTGAAAATCTTTCGGGGGTTGAAACACAGATATCACCCACGAAGACAGCCTATCCATTTTCAAGAGGATTCCAGCCTCGAGCTCGAGCCAGGAATTAATATTCCCTTTCTACAGTGCAGAATTTGCCCACTGTCGGTTGGAAACGATCCCGAGGGATCGGGAAACCTCAGGTATTCCTAGGCAAAGAACGGTAAGAATGAAGAAATACCACACAATCCGATATCGTCTGTGCTTATCTCTTCCTTGATTTCCCACGTTTAAATCATTTCACGTCTTTCGTTCAAAGACGAAGAAATCTCTTACCCTCCCTCACTTCGCATTTCATTCTACACTCGAGTCAGTTAGTTATTCTACTTTTACTTTCTACGCGAGCTCGTATCCTTCAATCTATCAGATTACTCTTCCCTTCTTCAACTGGTAGCTCGCGTTAAGATGCTTCTCTCTGCGCGAAATGCGACAACGGTACTCTCGAAAGGGGATAAACATCAAAACGAGTAACGCGCGTAATAACCGTGTCTATCGCTTCATCTCTCTCGGTGATTTGTCCCTCGCGTTGCATCTTTCCTCGCGATAAGCAAGCCGTAACGCGCGTGCGAGACGAGCAGACTTCTGCAAGTATACAAAATATCGACGAACGTAGCTTGGTATAATACTCTTACTCTTTATGGAAAATATTTTCGCGACACTGGGTACACAGAGGTACAGAAACTGGGGAATACGAATTAAACACACTTGCTGACAATGAAGAAAACTTATGGCTTACTTATACGTACGAATATAAATTTTACAAAAGACAAAGCCAAATTTTTTAGTTTTGTTGAAATTTCTGCGACCCCCAAATTTATAATGGTTAACCTCTTCACCACCTTGGCCAATTTACATCCTATGAAAAAGCTACTTCCATCCGCGTTACAAAAATTTATTTATTTAAAACGTTCTAAATTTCTAAATTTAGAAATTTAGAAATTAAAAAAAAATATTATAAAAAGTTATAAATTTAAAAATTATTATAGAAATTTAGAAATTTAAAAAATTATTATAGAAATTTAGAAATTTAAAAAAAATATTATACAAATTTACAAATTTAAAAAAAATATTATATAAATTTATTTATAAATTTCTAAATTTATTTAAAATTCGTTAATAGTTGCTTTGAGAATGTCTAGCAAATTGAGAAGAACTAGCAAGCGAAGAGAATCGAAGTGAAAAGCTTTCGGGCGAAATCTAAAAGCTCACAGCGAAGTGTCCTCCGCTCCGACTTAACGAGTGAGCCAAGTACATAAAAGTTCATCAGGGCAAACGTCGGCCTCCTCCTCCTCCTCCTCGTCGGCAAATTACACGCGTACGAAATTCAATCCAAAATTAAAATCGACTTTAAAGCGCATCTTTTACAATGTATACGGCGACCACGGCGGTATCGGCTTAAATTCGCCGTGGCCGGGGTGAAAAAGAGAGGAAAGCGAGAGGGGAGAAAGGTAGAAAGCGTATAGCGTGTCGGCGAGGACGGTATCACGTTTCGTGTGAGCCGATATTTGTTACACGTTCTTATAGAAGATGAAGAAGCGGTGCGTCGTGCGGCCCGAAGGCGCCGAGGTGAGGCTGGCACGAGTACGAGAACACGAGCACGAGCACGAGAGCACGGGCAAGAACATGAAAGCAGGAGAAGAGAAAAGAGAGAGCGAGAGAGGGAGCACACGGAGCCACGAGCTCGCGCACAGGCATTTCAGGGCCCTATTAACGAGTGGCCCCCCGCGGCCGATGCAACGGGCCCAATCAACCCAACTCCAATTCCTGGACCTCGCTTCGACTTGTTTTATGTAATGCCCGCGACGCCAGAATCAATTAGTCGGGGCACCCTCCTATTTTGCGTATGCGTGCGCGGTCAATCCCGGGCCAAAAAGGTACCGAAACTTATTTGCAACTGTCCGCCGGTTTGGTCCGGGTTGGACGCCGGTAGACGAGAAAAACCGGTTCGCTGAGAGTTAGACGGAAATTAAATGGCTGGAAACAAACGGAGGGGGACGGGAGAGAGAGGGGGGGATAGCGGACTCGTCTCCAGCCGAGAGATTTTCACGTGGAAATCTACATATTCGTCGCTTCTCATCTGTGAAACATTCGCGAAAGTCACGTCCTTGTCTTTGTAAAGTTTATAAGTTCTACAGAGATTTGGAAGACTCATACCAAGTATATGCGATATATCTAGCGTTGTAATGAAATTATAAGTAAGATGGAAGAATTGTTCAGAGGGTAAAGGGAGGAATGACGAGAAGATGTAACTGATTCACATATTTTCAGGTGCACGTATCCCTGAAAATCGAGGAACTTCGGTGAATGCAGCTAGATCACAGCACGAGCGCGATACATCACACAGCGGCAAACCCTGCATCGGGCCGTACGATCGCACTTTGTTCAGCTACTAGGCAAACAATCGTGCCGAGCTATTCACTAACCAAAAAGCGCCGGCCGCGCGTATCGGGCCAAAAAAGTGTGTGCATATATCAAGCTTGTTTATATCTACGCTGGAGCCGGGACATGCAACAATACAGCAATTTGGCTCGGACCGATACCAGATCTCACGGAGGTGTCTTTCCCACCTTACCGTTACCAACACCGGCCCATCGACAAACAAGCCTCCCTCGTCCCGAATACCACACCAGTGGCATAGAATCGATTTTTATCCGATGGATAAAAATTCGCGTCCCACACACTCACCTCTTCTCCTCTCGTGCCTACTGTGTTTCAAGTTCAACTCTTGCTTTTCACTCTTGTTTTTCACTTTTTATTTTTTCCAACTTTCATCTATTGCTGCAGTGTCAGATATACATAATATAAATACGTATTTAATTTTCGCTATCGACTGATTTTATTTTTTTCAAGTATCGTAATCAGCATCTAGTCAATTGTACCACGAACGTCACGTCGTAATTCAACTAATATCGTTATCCAAATTTCATAAATCACAGCTTACAAGTTACACCGGCGCTGATAAATTCTCTTATATAACGGTAACAGATACATAAATGGCAAGTCATTACGTAGTCAGTTTACAAATTACGTGACACCATTATTAAATGTTGACTTCTTTTTTTTTTTTTTTTCATATGTCCGATCAACATCACGGCAAATAAAAATGGTTTCCTATACCACTGGCATCGATTTCACGGTGGCCCGTGCCACGTATCTCCGAACATGTACACGCATACCTAACTCGTACAACACGCACCGACGCGTATGGACACCGACACTGTATCCTCTATTTCTGGAATTCGACGCGATCTTATCTCGGCCTCGAAGTCGCCACGACCCCCGCGAAGAGGATCTTTGATTTAGTACGAAGGGGAAGGGAAAAAAAAGAGAGAGAGAGAACAGCAACGTGGCTCCAAGGATACCGACCATTCATCTAACAGCGACGGCTCCAGAAACGCGATTTGCAAATGAAGATCATTTTTCTGAGCTCAGTTTAAGGGAACACGAAGTGTATAATCAATTAATCGCTATTTAAAACGAAACGAGATTCCCTTTTTTGTTCGAGAAACGCGCAGTCATTCCGCTCTGTAACTGTAACTGTATTATAATTTTTTTTGCAATCTACTTGATTAGTAAATTAATCGACGATGGATATCATGCAGTTTGTAAATTTGTTACGCATTAAAGATTAACGAAAGAAAGAAATATGCAAAACTATATATTGAGTTAAATATTTTTTATGCTTGTTGTAACGTGGACGCACTCACCTCTTTCAGTGGCACTTTAAAGGGTAGAATTTTTGTGCCACAGATCACCGTGCCATAGGGTTTATATTCCAACCACCTATGATAAAAAAAGATAACAGTAAAGAATAAGGGCATAACAAGCTAAAATAACTGTGTAAGATTTGAGCGTGCATTTATTTAATCATTTGTATCAATATAGCGCACACGCTCGCAAATATACGCGTGTATATGGTGTATGCAACAGGTGATGTTAAACAAAAAGAAAAGCGAATATCACTATGTGAACATTTACTTGGATTCATTTTTGATCACGTTAGATGATAAAAATTGAAATTATTTGACGACCAATGACAATAACGACATTTGTAAAATTTTATTTTATGGAAAGTGATGGGAAATAATGTGTAGAAACTGAGCTATTTTAAAGTTTTATACTCGATACTTTCTACGTTCGAATCAGAAAGCACCATCTGTGGAATATCCTACTAACAAAGAAGGACGCGTTTCTCAACCGATAAGTTAACCACCATACAAACTGCGTCGAGCAATGGATTTAGAAACATCAGAAATTTATTATTAATTAATGTTATGCAATAGACGAACTTAAATACACATAGAAGCCTTTCAGCTGATAATTAATTAGACTCCTGTCGTTAATACTGCTTGAAAAAGAAATATCGAAAACAACAAGAAAAGTCGGCATAACATAACCTCTATGTAATGTGACCTCCGACTAAGACTATTCTGCAGTTTTAAATGCCTCATCAAATTCACTGGTATTATAAAAAATAAAAAACTAACAATACTTGCCTTGCAGGTATAGATTTCGGCATATTCGTCGCTTGTTTAGATATTACAATGCGAAATCAAAAGCACACCGAAACGCAATACCACTAACATAGTACACACACGCAGCAGACAGATGCGGTCGATAGTAGTCACTAGACTGAGTACGCAGATCGATCGATCTCCCGATTTTCGCGCGCGCAATACCACTAAATTGACAAATTGATTTCACACAAAAACCACTTGCAATCGTTTCACTTTGTATTAAGTAAATACTTACCGTTTGATTATCATACGCAGAAAAATTACATAGATCGATATATTTTTCAATAAATTTGTTTCGATAAAATTTTCAATTATATATAACAATATATTTAATTTATATAATAATCAACATTATGATCTGAAATTTAGCTTCATTTTCTCACACATCCATTTTACGAGCATAACTATGGGCAAACAGTAAAGAAAATTGGTTTTAAAAAGGAAAATTTTTATTAGCTTATTGGACACTGTACGTCGCCATCTTTTCTTACTTTCAATTGTAATATTTCAGCCAATACCTTTCTTTCCAATTCCAAAAGCGCGGGCGGTTTTTTGTACTACAAAAAAAAAAAGAAAAAATAAACACAAAAGCACTCTAAATGCATTAAAATGTTTGAACATTTTCCATACCGTAATAATCAATGTATTAAATTGATGTATAAAAGATATCCTGTCCTGTTCTACTTTCAATCCAACACGTTCCAAATCTGGTACTATTATCTTCTTAAAGTACTTTTTGTTAGTTGTACGAACAGTTATTGTGTTGTCATCTTCCGCTGTCACACTATATACATTCTGTGGATATGGTAAATTTCTTATGCGCCATTCTAGTGAAACTTTTGTACTTCTTCTTGTAATAAATGGCTATTATAAAGATATACGGTAGTAATTAGTATTGATTATACCTTGATATTATTTTATATATATAATTTCAATATATGTGTGATTGTATACGGCACAAAACAAACTTTACATACAGTACTTGAACTTTCTTCAATTCCATATACTTCAATATTATTTTGTCTAGGTTCTGGATTTCCAATTTCTACTTTCCAACCTACATCTTGTCCAAGTGTACCTTTTTCCTTCCATGCTCTCTTTACTAAAACATTTGTTTCCAAAAGATACTCTTCTACCATTTCTCTGCCATCTTCCATTAAAAAATGGACTTTTCTTTTTCCTATATGCAAAAATACAGAAATATTACATTTGGTGTAATTCTAAGAGCATGCTATGGAAATAATATAACTTCAATGTATTGCTGACAAAAGAGATAAAAATATATACGAACAAAAATAATAAAAATATAAACATATACAAGACTATATACATATATGTTGTATGTAATTCTATAAAGTATATTTACATTTTACGTTTAATATAAATGAATAATGTATTATATACATATATATAGCTTAATTATAGAGTGAGGATTAATTCATGGCATTATCATGAATGTAGAATACATTTGAAGTAACATTGCATTTATTGATCAAACATCTTTAAGGTTAAAAGTGTACATTTAAAAAAAATGTAAAAAAGCATTAAATAATTATGCTTACAGAAATTCAATACATAACAACAGCATTAAGTACGTAATATTAATATATTTTTAAATTATTTTACCATCTTGGATAATTGCAGTTTTCGTAGCAGTCTGAATGAGTCTCAACCATTCTTCACGCGCCATTGATAAATACATCATTAGTTTCTTAGCAACTATCTACTACATATATCATAACTATCAATATTTTACTAATACATGAAAAAAATCATCATGTAATGGATAAAGGGCGAAGAACTCGAGTCGTATGATATTTCCTTCTCAAAAGTCTTTATTCGACTGTCGGACTGTCGTCCGATCAGCCATCTCCCTTCCCAGGCACAAACCTCTTCTCGAACCATAAACAATCCGTTCCTATGGCGATCATCCCAATGATCGCCTACAATCAAATGATTTGTTTAAAAAGAAAAATAATTTGTAATTACATTCGAATGTCTCAGAAATTACATATTTGCTAATACTTAATTGCAAAACTCCTTGAAGACATTTTAAATATAAAATATCTGGATCTAAAATATTATTTTATCTGCGATAGACAGATGTAATATTAAGCATTTTTATATACTATATTAGAAATAACAATGACAAATATAATAAAGAAAAATATTTAACACATTAGGACATACTTTATTACAAAATTGTGTATTTTTAACACCCAGAGGTATAATAGTGTAATATTTAGAATTATTCTTGTTACAGAACATATGTTAACATTTATAAAATGCATTAGAAAAACATTTATAATAATTACTATAGAATCAATGTTGAGATTAATGTAAATCAAGCATCATAGACTTTTAAATAAAAGTTGAATAACAGAAAAATTATGAAAACTTTAAAAAAAAATACATTTATGTGTTTAAATTGTAATTTTATTAAAAAGATATTTTATTTTTATAGATAATTATAAAATGGATTACTTTATAATTAATAGCGATACGATTTCTTCGTATGATTTGAAAAAAACGATTATAATATGTACATCTAAAGCCAGTCAAATGGAAGATGGTTATTTTTAAAATTATATACCTATATTTTTATGCTTCATTTATAGATATAGTCTATTTGTACTTAAAGGGAATAGGTACGTTCAGCTTGACAGGTATTAAATAAGCTGGAGTGAGAAGTTCTAATTATTAGTTAGTAAAAAAATGATATGCAGAAGTCCTTAAAATCTTAAGAAATGTATATGTAATTACTATTACATTATAATCTTTGTACAATATCTTTAGTGTTCCTTGTTATAATATTATGAAAAAATATTTTTTTATTTAGTTATTATATAACATTACACATAATAAATGAAACAATTTTTTAAAAATATATTACACAGAACCAAAAAAAGAAAATAATATTAGCTAAACAGAATTGAAAATTGCAAAATTATCAGACTATTTTCGATGCTTGTGGTCTATGACACTGTAACTGCTTAGAAAATTTCAAATTTTGGTCTATTGAAAGTCTTACGTTACTTCTTTTGGATAGAAATATATCATACATCTTTATTGTAAAAGTTATTTTCATTTGTCAACATCATAATTAGGATTAGGATACAATAGTTTCCACAGTTTTAATCCTACTTTCAAACTCTTAATTTTTTAAAAATAGTACGAAGATGGATAAACGTCATGCATATATTATATTAAAATGTATACAGTAATTTCCCCAAAGGTTTATTCAGCTTTATTTATACAATGTAGAAATTTAATGACATGGGAGATCTTAAAATGACAATGTGATCAGATGGAATTGAGGATCTGTATAAACCTAGTTCGTTTGTACAATTCTCGAACAGAGTAATTGCAAATTATTCTTTAGCAATTCTTAACAATGTGATCTCCTTTCGCTAAATACAGTACGTAAAGGCAGCCTACACCCAATAATATAAATACAGTTGTGTAAATGTTAATAAAGACTTGACTATTATAAATTGTCGGCGTAAACAGTATTCCTTTCTCGTTTTTAATCTTATAGCGTATGTCTCATTGTTACTCTGCATATATGTATTTATATATATATACATGTACATACATAAATACATATGTTCGATATTTATACATGTATAATATTTATAGAAAATTATTCTAACTATATTAATATATACATACAAAGACAAATGTGAAATACCTAAACTTTATTTGTCCCTTATTTTATAAAAATATGTGTATTTGTTATATTTTCGTTCATATTTCAAACAATACTATTATTAATATTGTAGCAATACAACACATTGCATTAAAAGTATCCACATAGTCACATTAATTGCTAAATATCTTTATCACGTTATATTACAATTCATCGTTAATATTTCATTTGAACGGATTGAAATTTAACATTTTTGGAGCAGTTTTCTGTACAGAACACTAAACAGTTCATAGAACAATATACATTATTCGATGTTCTCAACGTATCTTTATTATTGTTTCTTTCATTTAATTCCAATTTAAATGCAGGTTTATTTTCATATTCCTGACTTTTATCGTTGCAAATTATAAACACATCAAGTATTTATGTCACTAGCAATATTCGCGTAAATATATTTTATCTCCTTTTTACCGAGTTATGTATAACAAACTCAATGACTTTTTATTTCTATTAAAATATTTACGAAGTTTGGCAAGTTTGTATAATTTTATATTGAAATTTAACAAATAAAAATAATATTGAATAGCCACATTTTGACATAATCGTAGACAGTTAATATCTGTGTCAGTTATATATCAAATATAGTATAGTTATAACTGAATAACTGCGTCTTGTAAAAAGGCAAGTATGGTATATATATATATGTATATATATAATATAATCACGTAATGCGTAAAAAACATGTACATGTACATATCTATTTAGAATTAAAACATATTTGTGTTAAAAATAATAAAAGAGAATTATAAGAAAGTTATTTTAATTGAATTATCTTCATAGGGATCCACTGAATTTTAATACGAAAAAAATGACATTTAAAACACTTTATATGATTCTTTTTTTTCTGAAAAGATCAATTCATATTTTCATTATTTAAAATAACGAAAAAAGATTTATATTTAAAAATATAACATAGACTTTTATAAGAATTGTCTACCTTTTTTCTACTCGCAAAGTTTATCGGTTTATTTATGATTTATAATTATATGTACAATAGGTATTTTTTACGTTTGGTGATTTATTTTCCAGTCGTAAAGAAACATGTGACTCAATGTGAGTCTTTGCGAAATTTTTGAAAAATTCTTCATTTATTTGAACATTATGAAATATATCAAATGTCGAGCAATAAGCTTTCTAAGCGAACTCTTCATTGCTATGTTTAAAATCAGAAGTGATTTTCCATCTCAATACCGCTTTTATGTTCGTTTTGCAAAAAGTACGGTCATCGTGGGAAGAAAACACAGTTTCTCTCATCATTATCAAACGTCTCAAACGTTTCTTGATAATTTCATCACTCTTTATGTTCAGGATCAGGTTTTGTTTTTGGTTCCATTGCCGTAGAACGTGGATGATGAGGATTCGTCTGATTCCTTGGCACTAACAATACATTTCCATCAGCAGACTGTTGAAGACTATACTCGTACGGATGGTACTGATTACCATCAGGATCGCGCAAGGACTGTAAATTGAATAATAAAATTGGTTTCAGTTTTAGTAAAAACTAAACGAATAATCAATGGAACCTGTACAAACCTGGAATACATGACGATAAAGTTGACTAAATTTGTCTTTTACACGTTGCCTTTCGATGAGCATAAATTCTCGTTCACGAATAAGCCTCATCTTGCGGTCTCTCATCTCTTTCACTTCATCAGCGAGACTGATGATTTGATCTAGTTTACGCTTACGACAATTTTGAGCGGCAACTTTATTCTTGCCCCGTCTCCTGATGTCACGGATCAAAGACAATTGAGCCTCACTGAGATCGTATTTACTGAGACGTTCGTTAAATTCGTCCATTGGAAGATTAATAATGTCGTTCACCGGAATAGGGACGTTCAATGCTCTTGCTCTTTTCTCGTCTCTAGTTAGGTGTTCCTCACTCTCGCTTTTACGTACTGGAAACAGACACGAACGAATTACGAAGGATATATTATACAACGAATGATAGACATACTATCATCAAAATACAGAATAATTATGCTCGGTCGGTTTGATCCTGATGGTTACCTTTTTTATCACGAGAAACTGGACGTTGCAGAGACCCGGAACTTTCGGCAGGCATATGGTACGTGTGATTATGATGAACATGCTCAACAGCTGAACGTCCTGCAAATATTGAATTAATTGACGTTCGAGTTCCGTAGATGTGATTGGAAATAAAAAGATTTCATACGTGTGAATATACGTATGCCTTACCTGATTGATGACGAGTGAAATCTACGCTACAACTATATTTTATTTCAGGTTGAGGGCCAGCCGCACCCTCGATCGGACCGGAATAGGCATTCCCTGGTGCCCCGGCACCAACTGTGTGCGAATCATAGTCATACTTCATAGGAGTGGTCGGATGTGCTGTTGCTCCAAGAGGAGAACCTGCGTGTTCAAGAAACAGGTGTAATGTCCATTCAGTTTTAATTACACACACGGCGTTGCTTGTTTATCAATAAACTAACCAGTTCCTTGTTCCTGAAAGTATCGTTTCGCAAACATCTGGTGCTTTTTCTGAGCAACTGGAGGCATAGTGCGTTCCGTTTGACATCTTGGAGAACCAGCGTTCCTTCCGGAAACGGAATAGCTGCAGTCGTACGACATGCGGTATTTGCTAACGTTAAAAAACACGAATCTCATATTACTATACAAAAGTCATTTTAACCTTTAGAGGCTGGTTTTTCCATCAATCTTTGTATTCACAAATACAAAGGACTTTTATATGTTCATCGTCGTGCAGTATTATGAAAACTAAATGAGCTCTTTGCAGTCTATAAATAAGCCTTTCATCCAATAGGTTGACAAAACGTGAAAAAATTGTTCAGAAATTTTATATTCATCTCTTGTTTCATCAGAGAGAGAAAAAAAAGTTATATTCTGTGGAAAAGAATCAATCTCATTCTAAATATGTTTTTTTTTCACATAGAAAGCATTAAAGAGTTTCTTTCGACATTTTTCGAGCCCATCGTGAAACCCCCATTAAAATAAAAAATAAAAGTAAAAATAGACTTCCCGTCGTCTGAAGCTTGATAAATACGGAATACGGTGATCATTTATCTCTGTATTCGACTATAACTTAATCACCTAGCGTAATCCATAGTGTAATGAGAATCAGCTTGCGTGTGACTGGAATTAGAACCAGTTTCCATCCATTCGCCATCCGAAAGGGATGGTACACGCTCGCTGCCCATGCTGCTGACAGCGCTATCGCTGGACGCGTCCATTCTTTCGTCTGTTACACCCGGAAGTGTCGTAACGCCTGTTGCCGAAGAGGTCGTACCACCAGCTGTCTGAACTCCTGACAAGGCCGCTGCTCCCGTTGGACCCGAGGTGTTGTTATTACCATTATCTAGCATGCGCATGGTATACATGCCTGTAACGTTTTATTTTATTTATAACAGTTCATTATCATCACGGCGTATCACCTACTATATTCTTATTCAATAATTTATCTTATACATATATATGTTACTGTCACTGTGATTAAAACAAATCTGCTCGATGAAGTTTTCGGCTTTCCTTAAAATAAACATACTATTTCTATGTTCACTTGATTTTTCAATATCTTGCTTAATGCGAAGGATATCGCTATATGTATGTACATCTTGATGCGATATGAATTGCACTCGAGATCTCAGCGCGAGTAGAAATGTTAACACTTCTCAATTAATATATCGCGATACTCTGCATTCGGTAAACAGATAATTCGAACGTTAAGAACGTCGTTCTTGAGCTAGATTCACTTGAAAATAATTATTGAAACGCAGTTGCGCACGTACAAAGTTCAATTTGCACTAAACAAATAGTTATTAACATAGAGGAAACGATAAAATATTGAATTCGTGATGATAAAATTTTCATAAATACATTTAATGAAGTTGTCGAGTCATAGTACAAATAGACGGATTGCTACAGATTCTACAAAATAATTACAACGCATATTTCATTAACCGGAATGAAAATAAAAACGCATGTTGCAAGAAGGGTAAGGCTCAAGGTCCGTTGGCCGTGAGGATTAATTGACATCGTATTAACATCAGCTATATTTCATAGCTGTTATTCGAGATAAAATCACGAAATTACGTAGCAAATTAGATATAGAAATGTGTTAATTTTATACGTGTTACTGACACTAATTGACATACTCCAGTTTAATTGAAAATAAACTCATCCAATCTGCAAACGTACTTTACATGTCTATCAAACAAAAACAAAAATTGTTGTCAGCAATGTACTCTCTAATCTACACGATGAAAAATTACCGCATCGAAATAATCAAGAGCAAGTAATTTTATGCTTTTATGTACGCTTGATATAGATAATAAATACGAGTTGGTGAGCTCGGTTATCGAAGAGCAACATATTGCAAGAATTCAGGGAAAAATCAATGATCGCTTTTAGAATTCACGTCGGCTACATGACAAGAAGTTAAACGGAGGAGAGCGTTTGCATTCAGAGAGATTAAGATGCAGCGGTGGTACTGATACCAATGTTTCTTAGAAACATTCAGCACATTCAGCTGCTACAGAATCGTACGTGACTAAGATCAAGTTTCACTCGTTCTTATCAACTAAATTTTACGAAAGGAAATACAATGCTCTGTTGCAACTTTTTTTCTTTTCCTTTTTCTGTTTCTACTTTTCTCAGCAGACTACGATAAAACTACGTGTCACACTGTCAAGTACGAACCGTTGCGAATAGTTCGATCTCACGCCAACTCTCCGATGTACACACATATCCCTCAAGTGTGTCCGTTTGTCACAAACAATTACGTAAATTATAGCGCAAGAAATAACAATCCATTATCATTATTCAGTGGTACTTTTTCATACGATTTAACGTTTTGATTAATGACATGCTCGTTGTATTTTAATGACGTTTGCCACGTGAGTCTATCATTTTTTCCATTTCGGTTTTACGCTCGTACGTACTCGATAACGGATTATCCAGTTGACGCGAGCGATGAATAAATATGAGGAGCAGAAGAGAAAAGAAAAAAATGTAGTAAGCAAACGAACACAGCAAATCGTTGAACTGCCGTGACTCGGCATGTTTCTCGATTTCAGCGATAAGCTATCAGACTTTCGAATTTACCTTTCAATGGAATTTGTAAATGAGCAACACGCTACTATTACATAATCGTCGTTCTTCGTTCGAACGACACCAGTAATTCCAGTGTTTAACTATCGGTTAATATCGAACGAGAGCTGTTCGAGTTCGATAGATTCAATGCTGGTCACGAAGTTAATCCAGAGTACATGTAGGTCGATGGCATATCAAACACGTGACATACTCTGCACATTGTGAACCGTGTATATAACCAACTATATATACACGAATTCCAAAGCTCGCGCATATTACGTTTCTCTCGTGACAAAATCGACCGATCGCCATCGTTTATGCACGTTTCTCTAGATGTACGTACGATACAGCGTGATGAAAATGTTTTCGGAATTTATGCGATTTATGTGGGACTAGACTGAAGCTGGAAATTCACGCGTAAAAAAAATATATATATATGTACTATTGTACTGTTTTATATATATATATATATATATATATATATATATATAATCATATGTATATATATATACTATTATATATCTATAGTAATATATAGATATATTACTATAGATATATATATTATTATGTTATGTAATTAATATATATGTATGTCTTTTTAATCACTGATATGACTTGTCGGAGACGTAAAATACACACACACACAATTTGAATATTACTCTATTTCGAGGAAAAAATTACCTACGTGGTATGTATACGATAACACCCATAGTCGCCATTTAAGCTCCAAGAGAGCTTAACCCAAAGACCGATGCTCTCGATCGTTTCCGACGTTTGAAAATCGTCCCTGGCGATATATCCTTCTTCTCGGTAGTTTCGCCTCAAACGAAATACATATACGTATGTATATAATGTATATAAACCGGTACTATATCTCGAGAATTTTCAAGGTACAGTAAACGGCACAATACGTGTAGGAGCGCATGTTCGCGAGAACGTCCGGGCGTGCATGTATTTTCTCGTGGTAACCAGCTCTTTAGCACCTTTACATTACCAGATGTTCCTTTCTCTCTTTCACAACAATCTTCCCCGGGTATATATTCAATCTACCTCCCGCTGGTGCATATTAATCGCGTCGAGATACAAACACCAACAGACACACACATACACACACACACACGCTCTTTCTTCGCGGATAATCCAACAACGACCCCGGTGGACAAAAGACGAAGATGCAATTAATTAATCGATGATCAGATATCGAGGATCCATCGCCACGATCCAAATATCTCTATCGTTCAGCGATACACAGCGTTCGACGACATTGTTCACTGCACAGAAACATCTTCGAGTGGAAACTAGCACGACACTCGTCGTATATCACAACCACATGATCGAAAGAAATTCGACGCGAGTTAAAAAAAAAAAAAGAAAAAGTTTATTAGGTAAAAGAGATTCGTTACATCGTCAGTTACGATCGGTTTGACTAGAAAACACACACGCGTGGCGAGGATTCATCGCGATTTCTCTTCGGGGAACACATTATGCCAGCACCGTCTAGACCCGTACGATCACCGCGACATCACGAGATACGTAAGATAGGCATTCGATCGCGAACGCAGCGTAAACATAACTACAGTGTGAGTATTTAAGTTGGTGGCGCGTAGCCGAGAGGCTGACCCAGCGCGGGGCGTCACCACTCGCTTCAAGAGGCTGGTGACTAGCGTCACTTTTCACTTCGGTATTGGACGGACACCGACGACGGTGGGAGCCGACGCGACGGCTACGTCGCGTGTCCACCGATTCGTCATACACGACACAATCAGCCCGCGTACCCTTGGACGATTCGTTGTCATCAGACGGAAAACTTTTAGTATCAGCGCCGAGTATTGGTATAACCTAGTCTAAGCCTTAAAAAAAATATATATATATTGTGTCAAGGAACGATACCGATAACGTACCATTGACAATTGCCATCTGCGTTACACCGTTTAAGTCCGGCGATATTTTTATTGCACCGTCACGTCATTACAACAGCCGCGCGAAACTGTTTTTCTACGCTTACCGTACTTGACGCATATTATGCTATATTCAATTCGTTATACGTATATATGTATTTATAGGCTTGTAATATATTTTTATTCTTAACGTGTAGGCATATTTTTTGGGTTTATTGAGTTCGACACACTATGTTTAACATGTTGCGAGGCACGTGCCACGCACGTCGAGAATCTTTTGTCCCAAAATTGCAATATTTCCTCAGTTTTAAATATACTTAAGTAAAACAAAATATAATAAAATTGATTACTTCTCAATAATTTCTATCCTCTATAGTGACATCATGCCGACGAGTTTAAAAAGAAAAGAAAGCGACGGATTATTGTACACGGTTTGGTCGCTCGTTATGGCTCGCAATCAGTGGTTAACCATCTTGCGCTGCAATGACGTGTCACGCACGTCGAGAATCTTTTGTCCCAAAGTTGCAATATTTTCTCAGTTTTCAGTATATTTAATTATAACCTAGGCAACACAAATAATAAATTCATTACTTTTCGGTAATTTCTATTTTGTTTAATTATTTCTAGAAAGTGACGGATTATTGTATACGGTTTGGTCACTCGTTATGGTCCGCAATCAGTTGCCAGCGCAAGTGGTTAACCTCTTATGCTGGAATGACGTGCCACGCACGTCGAGAATTTTTTGTCCCAAAATTGCAACATTTCCTCAGTTTTCAGTATATTTAATTATAACCCAAGCAACATTTATTACTTCTCGATCATTTCTATTTTGTTTAATTATTTCTAGAAAGCGACGGATTATTGTATACGGTTTGGTCGCTCGTTATGGTCCGCAATCAGTTGCCAGCGCAAGTGGTTAAGGAGAAAAGAATCTCGTTATCGATCGTGTAATGCAAGATACCGCGAATTCACAAAAAAAAAAAAAAAAAAAAAAAAAAAAAAAACATACATTTTACGCTATCAAGGAAACTGACCTTGCAAAAAAAAGCAAGTAAAAGCGCTTCATTTTGAACACGCTTTATCGTTTCAACGCCGCTTCAACGCTATGATTGGACTTTAGAATCCTTTCTGATAAACGCCCGGTGCTCTAAAAAAAGGTTGGAAACTTCCGTACGATACGCGCCAGATTCTGTTCGAATCAAACGGACTGAATTACTTCCAAATGTGGCGCGCGAAATTTGGCTGATAAGAATTGGCCAATTAATATTGAAATTATCGTGTTATCGTCGCGCGAAGTAGAATAACAAACAAGAACGCGTCTAAAAAAGTTGTACACCATTATGAAATTATTTTCAACAGAATGAAACATGATCGATGAAGGAGACAGAGACAGAGATAGATAGAGAGAGAGAGAGAGAGAGAGAGAGAGAGAGAGGGGCTACGCGCGGATTTTTCATACTACCATGTCTACTTCTAATTTTATCGGTGATGTAACTGGCCGATCGTTAAAGAGCTAATTTGTAATTCATTCGATGAAAAAATTTTCAAACCGACGCGAAATTCTTTTAAATATAAATTGTTTCTTCGACGCGAAAATACACGTAAAAATGTCTCTCTCTCTCTCTCTCTCTCTCTCTATGTTTAAATGCTTGCAAGCAAATGTGACGTGATTAGTAATAAAGCGTAACAAGGCAGCGATACGAACGAAACGCAAAAAGCTAAAGTGTCAGTAAACATTGTTGCTCAATATGCGCGAGTCTGATTCTAATATCTATACACATATAACGGGATTTTACGACATTTCACTGATTCATCCCGCAATGAAATAAAATGTGGACTGAAAGGCTTAACCTGATCTCATCTCGAATTGCGTGACTTATTTCGAGATCCCGTGAAAACGAATCACTGGACAACAATGAACGCGCCGTGTTGCCAGCAAGCAGCGTAAACTGTTCGTCTATGGTAATCGCGCGATATAACAGCGTAAGGAAACGTAACTACATAAGTATGCAGCCGACAGTCATTCGTACTTTCACCGTTGTTCGTGGGTGTAGTTTTGCAAACTTATCTCGCGCGCGTTCATACGTAATTATCCCTTTTGTTTTGCTTATCCTCTGCAGGGTTGAAAAGGGCTTTCTTCTTCTTTATTTCAGCCCTTCGAATCTAAAAAAAAAAAAAAGAAAAAAAAAACAGAACGCATTCGCGCCTCCCGCCAACTCTGTTCAACTGTTACGATGCATCACGTGCGACAATGTTACGTTTTATCATTTTACATTTTCATCTGCGCGCTGCGACGCTCATCCGTAACCACCTGCGTCATCTTAAAATTCTCAAGGATGCACGTCGGTCGCTAAATTGCTGTCTCATGATGTAAGAGATCGAGGATGCGAGGTATTTTTACCGCGGTATTAACAATATAATAAAGAGCGTTCGTGTAGCACACAATTCGATCTAATAACTCACGCCGGTCGAATTATGGCGCGACAATTTTATACCGAAGCAGGTGCGTAAGCCATGGGTTTCTTAATATCTAAATATTCCATCAAGATGTCGAGCGTGTATCTTATCGTGCGAACGATAACGCTTTCAGGAAACGTAATCGCTTTCTAGGAAAGTCCGTTCACGCGCGTTCTTTTCTTTTCTTTTTTTTCTTTTTTTCTCAACTACTATGTTACAGAGTAAGGTACCATGAAAATTCATCTAGAAGCCTAACCGACTAACCGAGCTCCGCATGACTAAGCATCTCAAATATGGACGCGATATCTGTTCGCGGGCCTCGCCAAAGTGATAATAAAGTACACGCGGTCGCGCGCACGTAACTATTTATAGCTAGGTATGGTGCCCGGCATGATTTTGCATGACGCGCGACAATTTTGTTTTTGTTTCGAACGCTATCTTCTTCGAACGAGCGCATTTCGTAACGCGAATTGTATCGATTCTCCAGCGGCGATGTTATTTTTCACAGATAAACTCGCGCGATAAACCGCTAAACCGAGCGGGTCGAAAATAAAAGTCGAAAAAAGTAGAGAAACACGTTCGCCGACGCGCAGGTGTTAATTAATCACGCGATGTACGCGTATACAAATAAAGAAACGTTGCCAGTTTGAGACAGAAGAGCAAAAGATGACACACCTGCGTCGTCTGTTTGTAATATCGAGTCGAATTCAATAGCCGTATGCTAGTTAGCGTATGTGGAAGTATGCCACGCGGAATGTATGAAGAGTACGAGTATTACAAAATTGGAGCGGCAGCGCTTCGTTCCTTCGACGTTTCATGCCAGTGAAACTGTGCTCTTTAGCCGATAACCGTATCAATGTAATAACTTCGAATCGACGACCTACCGGCGACGTTTGTGATTTGAAACGAGAAGGGAAAAGAGGAGTCCGAGCAGAGAGAGAGAGAGATTAAAGTTGGAAGGAATGGCCGAAACGTTATCACGTGACTGCACGATAAATCGTACGATGTTGCATGAACAGATTGGTTCGTTTGTCTCATTAACGATCGTTGAAACTGTTTGACAAAACGGTACTATTAATTTTGCAATTAATAACGTTACTACGATTATTTTATATGATGGATGATCATCTTTTAACGAATGTGAAACTATTGTGCTCGAACGCTCGTCTTATTTTTTTTCAAATCTTAAAGCTGAAAACCTAGAAAATACTTACGAGAATCTGAAAAGAATGTATTTGTAATTATAAAAGTGTTAGATCTTTTAAATTCTTGTTGCTTAAAAGTTCACAGTAATGTTACTTTAATGTTACTTGTTAATGTACAATAATGTAAATTGTTACTTTAAGTTCGTTATTCTTCTATCCATGTAAAGGATACGTACGAGACTGCAGTCTCTCAGGTTATCAGGCCGGAACGTGTAAAATCGAGATTAAAGATAAGACTTTTAGTAGCGGTGATAAAATCAGAACTAATTGTCAACGTCGTGGTAAAATTTCAAAGTCGTATTACCCATTCTACAATTAACAATTACATATTAAACGAATTTATTAAGCAACTATATGAGTCACACGCTGTTAATTATTCTACTATCTGTATATTATTACTGCGGCCACTTTCAGCAATCGTACACTGTTAATTACTTTGCTATCTGTATACACTATTGCTACGAGCACTTTTCGCAGTGATAAACGAACAATAAACGCAATAAATGAAATTTTTCGCCAGACTTTTTTGGCTAATTTCAAATCGGCAAGAGGTCACGCTATATTTGAAAACGTGTCAAATATATATATATATATATATATATATATATATAGGATGAGATGATTCTTCGTCTGAAGCTCCTATTTAAATATTCATCGAGTAATAGATTAATACTTCTAAGCAAACACCTTAAATTGAAAAATTTTATTCATAGATGCCTGGCTTGCTTTTAAATTCTGTTGAAGGTACTTCATAAATTTTCAAACTCGCCACTTCGGAAAATAAAGTTTTTCCTTTATACCATATTTTCAATTTATCTTTTCGCGTAAAACCGTTCCCGTGTCGATCGATTCGTAATTATATAATCTTGCGTTTCGTCGCAACATTTTCTTTTTTTTTTTCAATTCCTTTTTTCGTTATCATCGGTCGTGAGCAATTTCAAGATATATAAATCGAGAACCAGGTATGTACTTACATACGTGTCGGTCATTGTATTTAGCCACCGTTCGCGAGACAGTCGAGTTTTGTCTGTCAAAATCCTTTTATCGTGCGTGACGATACTACATATGTTAAAGATAGGTGAATTGTCGAATCGCGTGATCTCGAGGGCAATGGTCACACGGAACAATAGCAATCTCTTTTGCGTATCGATAATTATTGAATAGCTTGTTTCTGTTGATGGAAATCGGCGATTAGAACCTATCGTGTTTACAATTGTTTAATCTATACCTAAGCAATCGTGGCTGTGAAAAATTGATAAACGTCGGATTTTATCGTTCTCGCGCTTTAATAATCCTATTAAAGAAGTGACGAAATCAGATGAGAAAGATGAAATCGGTCGGGAAGCTTTATGGAAAAATATTCAACGAAATAAAAATTTCGACACCAGATACTACGACTTGACCTATAAATTGCTGTTTACGCGATAGATAAATTCACTTTGAACCTGCTAATACTCGAGTCTTGAAAAATATAGATACGTAATTTCTATCATGAGCGTAAATTTGACAACCACTGCGTGAATGAGTTAGCCCGGGTAAACAAAGATCTCTGAGAATCGGCGGACTAAAATGATGTCACCTCGAGAGTATTATAGCTTCGCGTTCTACATATATACAATTAGTTTCGAACCGTTGACGTTGGAATATACGGTTAATTTATTTGTTATTCACCATCTTAGGTAACTGAATGTTACGGAAGATAATATACATGTTACATAAATTTGACTGAATCACAGAACGGAACTGTGACTCTGTTTCACAGACTTCCATTCACGTTATAGATCAATATTTGGATAACCGTGCCAATATTCCAGAGTACTCTAGAGCACTCTGCTATCAGATATAGTATCCCTTTCGCTTAGACGAAAAAAACTTTTACTAGGACCGCTATCAGATACATTTATAAATACATTTATCATTTAGATAGTCATCTAATCTGAAACGTCCAACGCCAAACTCTATAGAGATTACACTCGCGTACAATAGAATTATTCCCCGATCATTTAAATACTCGAAACGAGAACAATTCGACAAGAAAGTGAAACACATCGTGATTGCTTCAAGCTTCAAGTGAATTGAATTTTGTTGAAATTAAATCTGTCACAATGAAAAAAGAAGCACGCTCGAAGAAAGGACACGATTTTCCTGTATTCTATCTATGCAGAGCAAGTATGTATGTACGTATGTATGCATCTGGCTGACGAAACGAATCACCGGTAGAGCGAGTGAATCAATTTCGTTCTATTATTACGATTGGCTGACGAGATGTAATGGTAAAAGAAGGGAATGACTCACTTGCCGGCCTGTGACACACATATGCGAATACAGCCGCGTTCCCGCATGCACATGTGGCAATAGCCTAACCGTACGTGTCCGCGAAACTCGTTCGAGTCCTAGCTTTAAGGTATGGATAGCACAAGAGGATTGGTCGTGCTTCACCGCCGCGCCGCAGTCGCAGTAATCGCTCTATCTTCTTCTTCTTCTTCTTCTTCTTCTTCTTATTCTTCTTCTGTTACTCATCATCGTTCTTCCGATGTCCGGCGAATGCGTGCAATTTACGTTTTTTTTATGGCTAAACATACGGTATTAGCATACATCTCTTATCTTATCGTGCTACAATCTTAACGTCCACGAAATCGTTTCTCCCTTGCATTTTCGACCCGATCGCTCGCGCAACGCGCGTGCAGTTCCGATTTACTTCGCACTAGGAAATACAGGAATACGAAACAAAGTTCGCTCGACGCTCGATGGGTGGCATCGGTCTCGGGAGGCAAAATTTTGTCGTCATGAGAGTTGATTTTCAACTCTTAATGGTCATTATTTTGAACGTACGTTGTACGTCGCTCGTGTACAGTCCTATCTTTCTTCAAATCGATGATATTCAATCGAAAGTACATCCAATAATTTCTTTCTGGTATAACATGATGTATCGAGTCTTTGTTACGTCTTACGAACCACGTGTTGAAATGAACATAATGCGATCACGCTGGAAATAAACGATCCATCGCAATTTATATTTTCCTGTTTACATGTTTTCTTAGACTCTGGAATAGGTGTTATCGCATAACAAGGCATCTGAATATGTATATTCGTTGGATCGCGAAAATGTGTTTTTCGCGCTGACTGTTAATGGTGTTTAATTTATTCAATACTACCAAAATACTTCGTCGCTGTGTAAACAAATACTTGTTTGTTGTTAACTTGTCGGTCAATAATTTTGCTGCAGATTTCTTTTCTCGTGATAGCGCTAACGAAATCTCCAAATAGTTTATACAACTGTTGGATGACCAACCTGAACAATATATTGTAACAACAACAGTAACACATAACAACAACGACAATATTGTGACAACCCGCAAATACTGACAATGAGCTAGCAACAATCCACATAAAAGTGGATTGTGAATAGTTCGTCATAAGGGCAAGATCCAATAGTTGGTCATCTATGCTCCTTCCCTTTTCACTTGACGATGATAACCAAATATATAATATAAGAACATGCCTTAGACATTTGAGAGCATAAAACATTCTAAATCATTCTACATCACATTCAAGAGCATTAAACATTGTAAATCATTCTATGTCATTCTATTTCATACACAACCACGACTATAAGGGAATGAACTCTTCTTAACTCCATTACACAACTAATCCAACACAACTAACACGACGCTACCACAGAATTCTATGGTAATTGTTCAATAACTGCATTTAAAGCCATATATCCAAACACACAGATCGGCTGAATGATATTTAAATCAAAATTGTTTAGCATTTTGTAAAAAAAGTTGTCGATTCACGTCAATCATGAATATTTATCGTTTCAGTATTATTTTTATCATTTAATCGAATCAATCTACACACGTTTGTAAATGATTTTTACGTTGAATCTCACAAACTGTTCGGGCGATGGCTCGAGTATTCTGAACGTACTATTTTATATTTTTGTTTCAAAATCTCTGCTACGTCTTTATATTTTTTAATGTCATTTGTTGTTTCAATAAACATTTCTAAGAATGATTCATCGTGATGAACTGTATCATCTGGATATTCGGTTGTCCTTCGCGCATCTCAGAGTTATTGATGTACAAATGATTTCGAAGTTTATTTTACTACTATTCAAGGACTCGAAAGAACACAACTGTGTAGTGTACCATCTGAAACGGCCACCTCGACGTTAAAAAAGGATGCAGGTATAGTCTCTTCGAACTGCACGATCGGTTTAAAAATATATAAAACTCAGGGAAACATGGAGCTAATATTTCAAGTAGTGTCGTCTGGTTTTTTTCACTCCAAGGTTTGAGAAAGAGTGAAGAATGAGAGATGCCATAAATTAGGCTCTCTTTTATTCACTGAGCCAGAAAAGTATGTATTTCGCTAGTATTGGCAACATTGTTAGCTTCGTTAACCGTTTTAGTCTCGCTGCCTTAGGATAAAATTAATTTTTCTCTTTCACGTTGTTTCTTTGTGTCATCCATTGTCATTGATAAGTACACATGCTTGCTGCTTCTATCTGTCTGCACGAGTCAGCGTGTATGCATTTTTATGATAAACTGTATGATTCGAGACAAGCAGATTGATAACAGAAGTACGATCGCGGATTCATTGTCAATGACGTCAATTTCTACGATACACGGTTTCGTTTTACCATTACTCGGGTCGAGCGGTCTATGATTTAAACACGGAGTTCACGAGAAATTTGAGAATGTTCAAATGATAAAAATATATGTATTTTATTTCGTGTATATTTTCTACTTTATACTGAAATTTTAAATAATAGCCAATCGATTTTTATGAAACGTAGGAATAATTGATGAATTACAAATTCTACTTGATATTTAAAATCGTATATACACGAAATAAAATTTTTCTTCAAACTTGAAATCGTACGACTTTGCGTTTGTTTAATATGCATACAATTAGGTATAACTGCCTTTTTGTTAAAGATAAGAACGTAAGAGCACACGGGTTCTAATTGTGTGTTATTATTGATTAAACAGAAAAAGAACTCGACGATAATTTCTTTCAGCGGTGAAGTTTATAAAAAATTACTTTAAAGAACGAAGAAAATTATAAATCATAAATTCTAACGTTGTGATAACATCAGTATAAAAAATTATGATGTGAGTAATTACGTAATTAATAAAAAAAGAGAAATTTATATACGTATTTTTCTGATACTAAATAGTTTCTAACATTGTTTGTTATCTTAAGTATCCTTGAAACAATGTGAAAAAAAGAAAATTAAACTAGAAAGGTGTTACGATCTTATCTATTCTTTGAATCGTACGCTCACACCACATATTTGTAAACATTACAATAGACGTGTGTAGGTAATTCGTATTTGTGCAAATATTCACGAAGGGACAGCATTATTACATAAATCTGTTGTATAAGGATCGAAGTTCGATTTATACTTTTATACTTTTAAATGTAAACGAAAATATGACGATAAAAGATTTAATTAACAATTCTGCACGATCATTACGACGAATTAAAAATTTTGCATCTATTAAATAGTTAATGCTATGTAAAAAATGCTATGTAAAAAAAAAGTAAAGAATAAATAAATAAATCTTCGTCTGAACAGTGTGTCGTTCCTTTTTACATTTATGTACGCATTTTTTTTTTTAAATAATTTTTTATTATAATTTAGAAACATGAACCAATTAATCATGTGATACGTAATATAATTATAATTCTGAAATCAATCATGATTATTTATTAACTTGGCATTCTTTGACGATACCAGTAGAATTGACCGACAGGAAATTTACAACTACATTGTGCGAGAACTTGACCTTGAATACTGTTGGTCTTTTATCTGAAGCGATGTTTGCACGGTTTTTCCGTATTTCTAAGTGAAATGTTAGATAGATATAAAATCGATTTAATCTTTCACTGATTCAAAAACTTGTACAAAAAACAATATAATTTTTTTCCTGTTATAATAATATAACATGGAACATAATTTTGAATGTGATATTATTTGACAATATATTGCAAGAAATAAACTAGATTATTGGAAGTGATGAACATTTCTTTCTTATAATACTATAATAATTTTGTGACAATCAAAAAGTCAACCAACAATTATAAACAATACAAAAAGTTGTTATCATTAGAAATTTTCGAAAGTATTATACTACTCATTTGCATGAGAATTACGTTGCTCCTTTTTGTTTCGCCAATCCTCCAGTAAATTTTTCACCAAAAACATAACGTCTTCAACAAAATTTCTCCATTTCAAATGAGTACGTAATTTACATAAACGAGAATGATGTAGGTTCGTTGATGTCTAGGTACGATACTGGCCGAGTTACACGCAGTGCGCAAGGCGCCTGCGCACTGCTTGAAAACTCGATAGCTGATTCGTGCGAATCGTTCTCCTTCAAGTTGGCTGCTCTGTCAGCTCTTTGTTCATAGTAGCAACGGTTGAACACTGTCAGCGTTTGCACTCTCACGGTTGACCGGTCTCATTCGTATTTCGGCGGTTAAGAAGGAAGATATTCTGTTACACTGATCTGCCCGATTCTTCTCGAATAGAAGGACTTTCGTTTGTATTCTTTTGTCGACGATCAAGACGTAAGTACCGTTAAATTGAGCTAATTTTGTTTGCGCGCAGTCACAATACCGATCAGCCCTGCTTGCCGGTAATCGTGTTTTCTCCTACCGATATGCACGTGCCAACGTTTCCTGCGCGCTAAAAAATCAATATATACTCGATTGCTACTGAATGTCATTTCTACAGAGTTAAACAAAACAATTTCGGGAGGGACAGGGATCAATATTGTTCGCATAATTACTGGCTCGTGTTCTTCCAAACGAACGTTTTGCACTAACGCATTCTAGCAAAACGGTAATACGAGAGGGCACTCGCGGATTATTTGGGTCAAAGAGAAAAAAAAAAAGCAGAGCAAACTGCTTTGTTTTGTAACATTCTTTTTGTTGAATCTTGTGTACATGATTGATATTCTTTCGAATTACACTTTGAACTGATGCCCCGTATAAACTGGTTTCGTTAATAGTAGAAAATATTTTGCAATTTTTTTTCAAGGTAAACCTAATTTTAATTTTCTTTTAAAATATATCTTATAATGTTGTTGTTAATCTGAATTATTATTGTTTGTTATGTAAAAGTTTTCGATTCTTACTGCAAAACAGAACTGTAATGTAAAAAATTAAATTTTCTTTTAGGACACGATGAATGACACATGGGGTCAGAACTCTTCTTATTCCAACAAAAACACTCAATTTTCTGTAAGTGTTCAAGCTTTTTTGATATTGCAAGCAATTTCTGCCAGTAAGTGATTGTTGTCAATTGTTTACTTAGTACAACGAAGGTGGGCGTAGCTATGGAAAAGGACGTGGTTTTATAATACCGAATAACAATAATGAGGACAACTACAGCGTGGGCAATAAAAGCCACAATCCTTTTGGAGACGATGAAGACAATGATGGTAATAACTGGACATACAATGACGACAGTAACGATGATTTTAGGACAAATGATAGAAAAGGAAGATGGGGAGAAGGAAAAGGCAAAGGAGGTAACAGTAAGGGAGGAGGAAGAGATAGAGACAGCGGCAAAGGAGGAGGATTTAGAAGTAGAAACGAACATTCCAATGATAATCGTAATTATAGAAAGAATAATGATTATGACAACGATTATAATGGCGATGATCAAAATGACGGAAATGATAAACGGAGAAGAAATTTCAATAGGGACGATAACAACGACGATATGGAGGAACCGCAGAAACCTAAAGAACACTACGTTCCACCGGACTTGCCCGCCGACGAAAGAATGTTGTTTGAGAATTGTGTCGAAATGGGCATCAATTTCGACAAATACGACTTCATTGAAGTTAACGTGAGTGGAGAGAACGTACCTCGGCCGATAGAATGTTTCGAGGCAGCCGGTCTTAGAAACATTGTTTTAGAGAACATAAAAAAGTCAGGGTACACAAAAGTCACTCCAGTGCAGAAACATGCCCTTCCGATTATAATGAGCGGCCGAGATTTAATGGCCTGCGCACAAACAGGCTCAGGGAAAACTGCTGCTTTTGCGGTTCCCATTATAAATATGTTGTTGGCAAGGAATGCCGAACTAGTTGTGACTTCTTCACACTGTGAACCGCAAGTCGTTATAGTATCGCCTACTCGGGAGCTTACTATACAAATATGGCAGCAGATTGTCAAATTTTCACTGAACTCAATTTTAAAGACTGTAGTTGTATATGGCGGAACATCTATCAATCATCAAAGGGGAAAGCTTTCCGCAGGTTGCCATATACTCGTAGCAACACCTGGAAGATTATTGGACTTTGTAGAAAAAGGGAGAATCAAGTTTTCTTCTTTGCAGTTCTTTGTCCTGGACGAAGCCGATCGTATGTTGGACATGGGATTCTTACCTGACATTGAAAAGATTGTAGATCACGATACAATGGTACCACTGGGTGAAAGGCAAACGTTAATGTTTTCTGCCACTTTCCCGGACGAAGTGCAATACTTGGCGAAACGATTTTTAAACAATTATTTGTTCCTGGCGGTTGGTATAGTGGGTGGAGCTTGTTCCGACGTGGAGCAAAACTTTTACGAGATTCCCAAGAACAAGAAGAAAGATTTGCTCAGAGAAATCTTAGAAAGGGAAAACGACGCTGGTACATTAGATGGTACATTGGTGTTTGTTGAAATGAAGAAGAGAGCAGACTTTATTGCAGTTTTCTTATCCGAGAATAATTACCCCACCACCAGTATTCACGGCGATCGATTACAACGACAAAGAGAAGAAGCACTGGCTGATTTTAAAAGTGGAAGAATGTCCGTTTTAGTAGCCACAGCTGTTGCCGCCAGAGGCTTGGACATAAAAAATGTATCGCACGTTATAAACTATGATTTGCCAAAGGGAATCGACGAGTATGTTCACCGAATCGGTAGAACTGGCCGTGTAGGAAACCGAGGAAGAGCGACTTCTTTCTTCGATCCTGAGGATGATGCACCGCTGCGAGGCGATCTTGTCAGAATATTGAAACAGGCAGGGCAACCTGTTCCAGACTGGATGATGGGTGGAAACGCGAGTAGAAACTTTATGCCAGGGAAAGGTACAAGCAAATTCGGCGGCGCAGATATTAGAGGGGTATGTATACTTTTAACTATGTCTTTGTTACAACTTCACAGTTCTATAATACACGTGTATTAACAATGCAATAACAGTAGTAACCAAGAAATGAACAATATGTATCTGTTTGTATATAGTTTGGAGCGACCGAAGATGAGTATGGCGAAGAATCGTTCATGCCATCCACGGCAAATGAACCAGAGGAAGCGTGGTAGGAAGTCACTCGGTTCTTTTTTCTTTTGTTTCTTTACTTTTTTTGTATTACTGTTAGCAACATTCTTTACTCGTTAAGTCGGAGGTACAAATAGTTTTCTATTCATTGAAACTTTATTTAACGTTAGTCAATGTTGATGATCAAGGAGATTAACAAGCGATAGCGACTTGTCTTTTTTTAAATAACGATTAGTGTCTTATTTAAGTGAAACAGACTGGATTATGTACCTCTTTAGAAACGTAAGTTATATTTGAGATAATATAATGTTAATTTTGTTGATCTGGCGAGTTTAACTTCAAGACATGATGCGTAATTTGCGAAGAAAGACAGCTGTAAATGCAGCTTGTACTGTATCGATCGTACAAATATTAGTTTTATAAGAACAAATTATAAGCTTATGATGAACACGTAAAAACAATGTTTTATTTTATAAAATGGTAGTCTAAACAGTTATGTTAAGTGTTTTGTACGTTCTTTTTATAATAAAAAAAGTTATAATGAAATAGTACCTTATTTTGAATATTTTTTAGTCTTGACACATAAGTTGCAGAATTTTACAATAACTCGTAGGATGCAACTTTTTACAATACAGAGGTGAATCTGTTTAGTATAAAAATTGTTTCATTCGTATTTAAGTATTTTTCAAATAAACAACGTTGTTTCATACCAGTATGTAATGTCGTGGATAATGAAAATTGTCATGTATGATTAAAAACACAATTCTTTCGCGATTTAAAAAGTACAATCAAGCTGAAATGGTGAAAAAAATGTGGTACATACCGTCGTTCATTGCCATGTCCATCAGATGTAAATCCTCGTCATTTAATAGAGATGAAAGGAAACCATCGGTGGTTTGATTGATCGAGTCAGAAGTTGGAGTATGGTAGTACATCATATCTGCCGGCTCGGATTTATAAGCTGCTCCACTTTCTGCGCCCATCGGTTCGCTACTGTTTGTTAAATTCATTGACGTAGCCACGGCTGAACCCAGATTCGACGACCCACCTGTGGCAATTAGTATTTTAGTTCCAAGAGATTAGGTAAAAGTTAAAGTTCAGTTTTTTTCTTTAAGTTGCCAAGTGTACTATTAAATATATATATATATAATAAACACTTTCTAAAAATTTCATTATTTCTCTAGTAATTCCGTCAGAACAGAAGAAAGGAAACAAAAAGTTTGGCATTGATTGAGGGAACAGGTACACGTTTCAAATTATTTGACTCGTTAAATCGATGGAGATGAACTGTGAACTGTTTAATGCAAAGTATACTCACCCACATTGTGATACGGACTGGTGGAATTGAGATCGCCCACCGGTGGTGCCAGAGTGGCATTGTGAAGTAATACGTTGCGTTGCGCTTCATAATGACTGTGACTTATACCGTGCCCTGGGTATCCAGGATGTGCAGGATGTGCAAAATGGTCTGGTGCACCGGGCAGCGACAAAAGAGATGCTAGATCTTGCCACCGTTGTTCCATGCTCATTGCACGCATGAATGGCATGCGACCCTGAAGTATACATACACGAATTACAAATCAAAGCATTTAAAAAAAAAAAAAAGGTAAAAACAGTCAATTCGTACATTTATTTCCTATCAATCTGAAACGAAATCTGTGCACCTTAACAATCACGCCCTCTTTATATCGCATTGTCATTGATTCATCTACCTATTCATCCGAACTGTCACGACTACAAAATTCCGCGGCTATCGACTGTCAAATCTCGAATCGGTGGATGTTGAAATTCCAGCAAGGTAGAAACCCTGCTGATCGCGTAGGTGTTGGCCACACACGTGAGGAGACGGCCAAGATATTAATGACTTATGGTATACCACGTGTCAAGTGTATCTTCTCGATCATGCAACAATGTATCACGATCGAGCGTCAAATCGAAACCACAACGCGTCAAGCATGGTAATTACAAGGAAGAAAATTTTTTATCCAAAGGGCAACGCTTTTATTTTCATAAAAGGCGTCGAATCGACTCCCAATCGTATGAAAGTACGAAAGCTGTGAAATTTAATTCGCTCGATTCTAATTAAACGCCGTCTTTTTTTTTTTTTTTTTCGTTTGTCTGTTTTGTTGCAGTCCCTAGGGTTTTAGGTTGCTCCTAATACCTGCATTTAACATTGAGAAAAATTTTGAGTAGTATGATTAGTGATTTAAATTTATTTAGTTTTGATGGGGTTTAGTTTGTGCAGGAGAAAAATTTTCAAAAACCACAACGCAGTTTCTTGAGTGAGAATTCATGTGTTGTGAGTTTTAGTTTTTGTTGTCTCGAATGGTAACGTGTTTGGGCAGTTTCGTTCTTATTTTTAGCGGGATTTCTTCTATATTGTAGTTTCCTATGGCCTTGATTATAGTGTTTTCGTGTTCTGGATGATATGCTTTTTGTATAGAGTTGCGTATGTACTCTTCTATTGTGTAAGAAAATATTGTAAAAATTGTTACGAAGGAAATACAATACTGCTGGAAAGGAATAGTAGAAACTTATGGGTGTTTTGTTTAAACTGTTTCATTAAAACCCATCGAAATTACTGTTGCATCGTTATACCGTATACTGTTTGTACAATGACAATGTTCAGTTATTATTCTTTCTCTGTAATTGTAAAGTTTCTCAATTTTCAATGTGCCAAATTTTTCTTTCTACGTGTGTGCTAAATTCGCTTGGCCAGTAAACGAAAAGATTACTGTCGGTGTCACCACAGTAATGACCGATGACAAGGCACTTGACCAGTATTTTTAATTGATCAGACGTAATAAAACAGTACGAGTTTTTGGTTCGCACGACGCGTAATAAACAGTTGTAATATCGAGCACGATAAATCCGTTGGAGTGTCGGAGAAGTGTTAAAACGGCGCGCGTAAGTGCGGTAGCGGCCACTGGCGCTTAATGCACTGTTTGGTATTGTCGCTAATGCATCGGGACGGGCAAGAAGAAGATGAATAGGGAAGCTGGCGCGCGGCGTAGAGCCGCGGATCCGGCGCGATTGTTGCCTCGGTCGCATCAATCAGTCGCCGGTGCAATCTGTCGAGCGCGACGCCTTTAAGGTGATTCTCGCTTGTCAGCGCATCTGTCGGCTGTAGGCCGCGAAAATGTAGGACGAGACGTTTGTTCCGCGACGATTTGCCCTGCCAGCGCGGCTTTTCTAATGGCCGCGGCTTTACGCTCCTTCTGTTTCGATCGCGACGCGCTCATGATTGAGCCCGCTACGCTACGCGAAAAAAAGAAAAGAGAGAGAGAGAGAGAACTCCGACTGCATTTATATACCGTTTCCAAGAACACCGCTGAGAGAATTTGACACGCGCACACCGTGCTTAAACAATTTCTCACGGTCTTTCTGGCACGCACTCGATTTTCGGCTGCTGCATCCCCGTTTGCCAATCGTTTTATCGCTTACTTACTATGTACGTTTACTGTACAACGTTTCGCTACGGTTCTGATTTTTTGGCTCGCGCGGAAGAAACAATTAAATGTATATACATATATAAACAATTAATAAAAAATTTATATAATTTAATGGAAATTAAATAAGGAAATTAAAATTAATAACAATAAATTAAAGTGCCAGCAATAGCGGTTAAATATTATATTATAAGTTATTGATTTATAAATTTTATTAAAGTAAAAATAATTGTTATATTAAATTTATTAATCTTAGGTGAAATTTAAATTAACATTAATAATATAAATTTTTATATTAAAATATACATTAAAATTGAATGTTGTATTAAAATATACATTAAAATTGAATGTTGTATTAAAATATACATTAAAATTGAATGTTGTATTAAAGTATACATTAAAATTGAATATTATATTAAAATATATATTAAAATATATTAAAATTCGTTTGTCGATCTCTACCAATAGAAAACCAGCGTTGTTTTATCGAGAAATATGAAACAAAACTCAAGCTAGCTGACTTTTCGGACACCCATAATATCCACATATATACATACATACGTACATACATACATATATACGTGTCAAGAGTGATCTTCAAATATTGCGTGCGTTTCTCCGCTACTGGCGCTTATGATTTATGCATCAATGTAATATATATACATATATATATACGCATAGATACACGCATCTGGCAGTAGAGATTCCGTCACAAGCTGCATATGAATCCGCGAGACCGCGAGGAAAGAGATCCGCGAGCGAACAGATGTTTGAAACGAGCTGTCGAGGACTCGCTAGTTTCTTCCGAGCTCTCTCTTTTTCCTTCCTTCGTCTTCCTTTTCTTCTGTCTTTCTCCACGCCGTAAATTCCAATCTTCACGCTTTTAATCCTCGGATATTCGAATCAAAATTATTCGATCTATTTATACTTCGAGATCAAAGTTATTCCATCTATTTTTATTTCATTATTCTATCCATCAAAATTATTCCATCTATTTATATTTCGAGAGTCTTTCTCTCTCTCTCTCCTTTCTTCCTTCCTTTTTCTTACATATGTCCATTTTCTTTTTCTGTCTTTCTCTTCTTCGCGTTTTTTAGTCCTTTCGACGAGTTCGCTCCTTCTCTTCCTAGATATTCGAATAAGAAATATTCTCGAATTCATTCAATCGATTTATCTATTTTTTTTTTTAGTTAATCTCTCCAAGTTAATTTCATTCCATTATTTCGTCCTTGCGTGCGTGCCAAAGAAAACAAATGTCTATTTATCTTCCTTCTCCCTCCCCCTGCCATCGTGTAATCTCACGCATTCCAGGTTGACGCAATCGATCGAAATCAGAAGGCACGACAGCGATCCAACCAACTACCATATCCGATACCTGCCACAGCATCGTTTACCCTAACGTCCCTTCGATCCTTGATCGCTTACCTACTTTTTACCATCGGCGCGTCGTTCATGTTTTCGTACGTGACTTCCAGCCGAGGCTCGTTTCCGTCACGAAAGTTGTGAATCAAAATATTGAGGGGATAGGCGGATTCAATCCCTCGCGCTTTACAGCCTATAAAAAAATATTTTGTCTCTCCGTATCCTCTTCGTAGTTTCTTCTCCCGTTGTTAATCTTCGTTCGTTGCCGGCGTAAATGAAATTTCGACCGAAAATCTCCGCCAACGAAGGGAAGGATATTTACAAAAATCACGGTAGAAACTGTCAGAATACGCCGATATGGTAGGAAACAATAACTGCGCTAATTGGATGTCACGCGACATCTCTGCTGAACTACCTTTACTATTTATTCTTCCAGAACATTTCTTTTTAAGCTCAACTTACTTGTTTTGCCTTACTTACAAGTTACAGATATTAGACGTAAAGGGAACGCTGGTGTAACATAGACCTAGTGCTTAAGAGTATATATGATATTGAATTATTTAATAAAGAATAACAGAAAATTATTTTCTAGAAAAATCACGAAATCGTACCAATCGTACTATACCCGCGCGTACTATCAAACGCAGAATTATCCTTACTGTTTAGGAGAAGCGAGGAGAAGCTCGATGATTGCGCAAAGAGGGAAATTCGTTTCACACATCCCGGACAGCTCATACCGCGACGCATTATGTATTTCACAGTGCATAAGTCCAGCAGCTGTTTGGAATCTCTGTCGGAACGGAACGGAACTGTGACGCCCCGTCGCGTTTCTTGGATCTTGGTGAAAATTGCTCGATCGTTTGGTACGTACGCCTCGAGAGCTCGGCTGAAAAAACTGGAGACTTTCCTTATAGAACGGTCGCGTCGTGCGGAAAAAAAAAAAGAGAAAAAAAGAAGAGAAGAAAGAAAACGCGAAAATAATTTTCTCCCGGATGGAGATTTGTCGCGAACGAATTCCTCCAGTCCCCGACAAAAAGCGCTACAAGCTTGCGCTAACTTCTTTATCGACCGCGCTCTGCGAGAAAAAAAAAGGGAGATTTGAAACGAATTGGTATTATCGTTTAACGCAAATTGCCAGATCGTGCGGGCAAGATAAAGAAAAAAAAATCGATATCCGTCGTTGAAGCGAGTAGTTGACTTTTGTAAGAAATTCAAATGAAGAGATAGCGCGCGAAGAACAATACTTCTCCGTTTATTTCTGTTGAAACTGTTACAAACGTTTCCTCGAAATAACTATGGGGTGGCCACTGAAAAAAACTGAAGGGTTCATGGTGGTCATTTGTCACAAATAATAAAATCCATTAACCTCTTGTATAACAGTAACTGGTTTGCGGACCATAACGAGTGACCAAGCCGTATACAACAATTCGTCTTCTTTCTTGAATTCATCGGCATATCACTGGATAGAAATGACTAAGAAGTAATAAATTTACTATTTGTTTTGCCTTACTTAAAACTGAGAAAATATTGCGATTTTGGGCCAAATATTCCCGACAGCGCGAGAGGTTAATTGGAAAAAAATCCATTAATTATGTTTCCAAATGAAATAATAAAAAATTAAAAAAAAACACGTGTTTGTAAAAGTTATTTTTGTCTTTCAGTGACCAGCCTGTACATACGCGTATGCGAGGCTGAATGAAACATCGCTATCACGGCGCAATCGGCACGTCGATCCGATTTTG